GCCCTGCATTTTAGGAGGGAAAAGAGTTTCTGTTCAGCTCTTCTTTTTTCTTTTAATCCTAACTGGAGGATATTTTTTTCCCCATAAATTTTTAGAGACAGTAGAAGGGAGGGAGAGAGGGGAGAAAACATCAATGTGTCTTACATCCATTGGTTGCCTCCTGCATCATTGCATGTGCCCAACTGGACCGGGGACAGAACCTGCAACCCAGGTATGTGCCCTTGACCAGGAATTGAACCTTTGGTGTGTGGCTGACGCTCTAACCACGGAGTCACACTGGCGAGGGCATGTTCTGCTCTTTTCTTTTTTTTGATCGCAAAAAATATCTATATTTTTATATCTGGGGAAGGGAGGAGAAAAGAAAGCAGCCTCTACTCAGTGGCAGCTTCTTGTTCCATAGGGTTAAGGAAGACTTTGAGGAAATAAAAGTTGTTTGGAAAAATCCAGGTGTAGTTGCTTTATATGCTGTGATGGGTAGAAGGGATGAAGTGAAGTGTGAAGGCCCCTCACACTGTCCATCTTGCCTCAGACCATGTCCTGGAACCCTGGGGCAGAGAAGGCGCCACTTTCATTCTGCTTCTTGGAATTGTTGACGGCCACGGCCACGTAGTGATAGAGAACGAGAACGACAAGCAGGAAGAGCGACATGCCCAGCATGTTGGCGAAGAAGTAATCACCCTGACCCGCTGCGCTGGGCTCCGACAGGGTCTGTGCACTAGCTCAAGGTAGGTCTGCTCTTCTTATAACAAAATCACAAGGTAGTAATGTTCCTAATAGCTCCCAGATAACCAGGAACTTAGGCACAGAGAAATAGTAACTTACCTTATTACAGGGTGTCCCCCCCTCCCCCACAAAAATGTATACACACTTTAACAGCTAAGAGCTCGATTTTGAAAATAAAATGTATCTTAATAAACACTGCCTTTATAATTATTCAAAAGTATGTGTATATATTTTTTACTTTCTGATTCTTTGATGGATGGAAATAGAATCACAAAGAGAAAGAATGTAGGAAGTTTGCCTAGAAAATAAAATCTTAATAATGGTTACAACTAATGAAACTTAGTCTCAAATGCTGCCTTACCAAAAAACAACAACAAACACTACTTTTTTCAAGTATCAAGGTAACTAGTAGAGAGACAAAACTATAATCTACGTTAAATGCAGAGCGCTAACTAAATAGTAACATTGAGATCAAGTTTCAGGACTATCTCAAGGAAAAGAAGATGAGGTATTTAATAAAATCATGAGTACACTGTCAATTCCAACCTTAGATCCTTACTATAAGAAAACTATGGGAAACTGACAAAGCCAGTTTGTAACCTATCTATCATTCCATTAGATTGGAAATTCCATGAATGCAGGTTTGTTTTGATCACCATTGTAGCCCAGATCTTACAAATGAAGAGATGCTCAATAAATACTGAAAAATGAATTGGCTTCATTGGTTTTCATTTCAACAACGGATAATGATTGTTTAGAAAGTACAGTAGAAGGAAAAGCAAAGCATCTTGGGAACATAGGAAGCAAGGAAGAGTTCATTTTAATGGGATGGATCTGAAAGGTCAGGGAAGGTTTGAAGGGGAGGCTAAGATAAACCTTAATACATAAATAACGTAGGTGGCGAAGAGCAGAGAAGGGTAGAAGAAGAGCACTTACGGAGGGACCAGAATAAAGATAAGCTCAGAAGGAAGACAAAATGCAAAATTCAGGGACTAGTCAATTGTCTGCAGTGGCTAGAACACAGGATATGAGGAAGATACAGGTGGAAGTTTAGAGCCAGAATGAAGCAGAAATGTTTTTTCTTTTCTTTCTTTCTTTTTTAAAATGAATGCTTTTCTAAGGGGTGCGGATTTTAGCTTGTATGCCACGGCCTAAGGAACAGATGAAAAAAAAAGTTATTCCAGTTAGCGGGCTATTCTAGTAGACTAGGTATGGAAATGAAGGCCTGTTGAAACTCAAAAAATATCATGTCAAGTGAACAGAAACCAAAGACCGTATATTGTATGATCCTACTTATATGCAATGTCTAGAAAAGACAAACCTATAAGATAGAAAGTAGATTGTTGGTTACCTGGGAGGAGGGTAAAAGGTGGAGGCACTGCAGATGGGCCGGAGAGAGCTTTTTGGGGTGATAGAAATGTTCTAAAATTGCATTGCGGTGATGGTTACCCAATCTTTAATTTACTTAAAAGCCAAATTCTACTTTAAGAAGGAAGGAATAAAGAAAGAGAATGAATTAAAGGAGGAAGACAGAATGAAGGGCAGACTTGGGAATTGGAATGGAAGGGGTAATAAGAATGTTAGACAAAAATTGACAAGACTTCTTGAGAAGACAGGATACACAGTTGAAATATAGGAAAGTTAAATGGCACAAGGTTATGACAGGGATAATGGTGGTGGTTGGTATTAAATGGAGAGGGAATACAGGAGGTTCAGAGTTCAGGCAGTTAGTGGAGAGGAGTGGTCAAGGTTAGGCAAGTACAACAGGGAGATGCCTGATAGACATTTATATAGCAATGTCCAACAGAAAGTTGAAACTTTTCCTGCTGGTCAGACGGCTCTCCCCTTCCCTTTATCATGGACACTGACTGCTGAAATGTGAGTCATCTGAAACTATGAGACTGGACAAGCAAGAATGACCGGAACAACTTCAAACACATTGAAAGCTCTTGAATGCTTTTGGAAGGCTATATACCGCTGCAAGGATAAAAGGCTGATTTAGGACATATTTCAGTTTAGTCTTTAAATAAAAATACATTCTAGACTTAAAATGGAAGGTTTAATGTTAAAAAATGAGGTTGTTTAATGATATCTTCTCGCTATATAGCAGGTCAAACATTAATCTATATCAAACGGATAGAATCAAAACATAATTTGGAAAATAACTTTCACATTTAAAGTTTCAAACTTAATCCTTGTAAAGGCCAAATCAGTAGAAAGCAGTGGTTCTCAACCTTCTTAATGCCGCGACCCTTTAATACAGTTCCTCATGTTGTGGTGACCCCCAACCATAAAATTATTTTCATTGCTACTTCATAACTATAATTTTGCTACTGTTATGAATCGTAATGTAAATATCTGATATGCAGGATGTATTTTCATTGTTACAAATTGAACATAATTAAAGCATAGTGATTAATCACAAAAACAATATGTAATTATATATGTGTTTTCCGATGGTCTTAGGCGACCCCTGTGAAAGGGTCGTTCGACCCCCAAATGGGGTCGCGACCCACAGGTTGAGAACCGCTGGTATAAAGGATTCAGAAGTTCTGGTGTCTCCCAAGCAATCGCGGCGAGAAGGGAAGGGTGGGGCAGAGTTGAGACAACCAACTTGCCCTGGGCTGATGTCACCCTGGTGAGAAGTCAGCCGCCGCGGTCCGTGCAGGCGCCAGCAAACCGGGCCACCCAATCTAGTTGCTGCAGCGCCCCCGGGGCCTGCCTCATCCAGGGGGCAGAAATAAGGGCTTCTTACCTTGACTGCATACAACTTGCCGCCTTTCTGTCCCAGATACACCTTCCCAAAGGCGCCCCGGCTAATGGGCTTCACTATGGTGAACTCCTCGATGGAGGGAGGTCTTGGCACCGAGATACTATTCACGCATTTCCCTGTGGCTGCACCTCCTCCGCTCTTCTCGCTCCCGGCGGTGGGCTCCATTGCGGGCCAGCCCAGACTGAAGCCTGCAGCCGCCGCCAGAGCCCCGGTCCCAGCCGCCGCTCCCGCCAACTGGGTTCAAAGTAAGGCCCCGCCCACGCCGCCCGCATCCGTGACGTCACCACGCCGCAGCGCTCGCCAGGTCCAGCCCTGCGCAGCCCCATCTCAGTCATTTCCCCTTTGTAGACGCCGCAGGATCCAATGGGCGTGAGGGCGGGGACGCTGGGAATTTCTCCAACCAACCACACGCGACTCCGGGGCAGTGGCCACGGCCCACTTTATTTGTAATGAGAGGGGGTGGGGAGGCGGTGCTGCAAACACGAAAAGGGACAGCGGGTCCCTGAAGCGGAATCGCGGGGTTTGAAGAGTTAACTCTCGACCTTCAGAGGAGGCTGTTGGGATCCCGACTTCCTGCATTTTAAAAAAAACTCCTTCGCAACCTTCCCCGGTTCCTCCTGCTCCCCCCTGAAATGTAAACCGGTTGGGTTTGTTCTGGAAAATGGTGGCTAGTGAAATCGTAGACGTCGAGAAACTGGAAGAGCAGGAATCGGGTGGTGTAATCTGACATTTTAACCGGATGTAACGTGCCTGATTGAAACAGATTAGGATCAAGAGTCAGAATTTTCTACTTATTGTGAAGACATAAAAAAAAACTTGTAACAGAGACGCCCTCCACGGCTTCACCCGTGGGCGTGGCCAGTTCCAGGAATCGGGCCCTGAGCCCTTGGGGACCTGGGCATCTTCAGACGGCAGGTTCTGGGGCGACTGGCATCCCTGCACTTGGGCTTGGATTTCCCTGTGGTCAGAGAGGGGGGCGGGGTCTGCATCAGGTGGTCCCCTCATCTGGGCCGGGGCTTCTCAGATGGAGCTTGACCACACCACCTGCCCTCAGAGCCTACCTGTGCCCCGAGGAGGCCTGGCACAGGGGGTCACTCATTGATCATGGATTGCACAGCATCTGTTACCTCTTGGAAAGAAAAACAAAAAACAACAACAAAAAAACTTGTAACAAAAGACCTTACAGCTCATTCTGTTCCAGTCGGGACACAATGCATTGCATAAGAAAGCTGCAGAAAGGTTTAACGGGGTGCATGCCGGTCCCTCAGAAACAGGAAAATACAGCCAAAGAAGCTTTCGGGGTTAGCCAATGTACTATTCCACATGATCATCAACTGCTTTCGGGGGCCAGCAGCACCGGCAGAGACGCCACTGGGAGGCGGAGGGCTGCCACAGGCCTGGCGGGGGCGGTGCTCCCCTGCCCCGGAAGTACTGTTGCGTTAGAGCTTTGCTTCCGGGGCAGGTGATCGGTGCCGCAGCTGTAGGGAGGGGAGGCCATTTTCCGTTCTTTGGGAGAGTGCGGGTAAGGGGAGGGTGAAAAAGGGCTGCGCCCCTTCCTTGCGTGGACGGACGGGCGGTTTCAGCCGGCTGCTGAGGTCGCTGAGGGCCCGAAGGCGATGTTTTCCCTGTCGAGCACGGTGCAGCCCCAGGTGAGTCCCGGCATCCAGCCCATCCCCCAGCCCCCCTCCGCCCGCGTCTGTTTGCCATTTGCTTTTCTTAGACGCAGTTTCTCCTACCTAAGGGATCGTTGGAGGGAAGCGATTAGACCAACATGAGTTCTGGGGGCGAGAATGGATGAGGGGCATCGCTCAGAGTAAAGGGCTGACGGTGAAGCAGGGCCGTGACATAAGCGTGATGGGGATCTTGGCTTGTCGAGTTGACTGCGTGGAGTTTTTGTTGGGGAATCCATCAGGCATTGTTTAGTGCCGGACATTCGGGGGTAGAGGTTGGGTGGGGGGACCTCCTTGCCATCGACGCCATAGGGGGAGGACAGGAGACCTCCTTGCCATCGATGTGAAGGAAGCAAGTAAATAGTTGCTTCCCATTTTCCTGCCTCCGATCCCCTATTCTCTTTCCCTTTAAATGGAATTGCCCCGAAACGTGCTGTAATAATTTGGATAATCTGCCACGAAAGCTCTTTCTTTCTTTTTTATTGGACCAGAAATGTCAGATATTTTCAAGTTATTGACTGCCTGCAGTTAACGTTTTGATTCAGCTTCTTACCCATCTTTTCTTAAAGCAAAAGATGGGGCAGAGAAAAATGATTCCAAGAGTTTTCAATTATCTCCTCGTAAGCACTAAACACTTGTCACAAAGTTTTGTTCTGGGTTCATTTAAAAATCTCTTTTGATGGTAACATTTTCCCCTTGGCTTGTTGTTGGCCATGTTTCTTCACATGTTTTTCACATGGTCTTTTCTCTGTGTCATATTGAAAGTTTTTTTCCTTCAGAGTTCTTAAAGTTTTGCAAATGGGTTTTGAAAACATTCAGATGTTTAAGTATTTTTTTTGAATGCTCTTTAGTTTCTTGGTTTAAACGTAATTATGCCCTGTGTTGTGTCATCCAGTGAACTGAAAGGTTATGGTTTGGTTCCTGGTCAGGGCACATACCCGAGTTGCTGGTCGATCCCGCTTGGAGTGTGTACCACTACAATCACGTTTCTATCTCACATGATGTTTTTCTTTCTCTATCTCTATCTCTCTCTCCCTCCTCCCTCCTCCCTCCTCCCTCCTCCTCTCCCTCTCCCTTCTTCTCTCTCAAAAATCAATAAAAAATATTTAAAAAGACAGAAAAACATAATTGTGTAACTCAAACACCCTTGGGTTTTTTGTTGTTTGTTTTGCTGGATAATAGAAAATAGAAGTGATTATTTACTGGGTGTCAGTAATGTGCCAGGTAAAGAAAGCAAATGTGGAATCTTGATGCTGATGTGAAGTAAAAGATGAGTAGAAGTCAGTCAAGTGAAGAATGAATGGAGCCCTGGCTGGTTCGTTCAGTTGGTTGAGCATGCACCCAGGGGTGGTCTCAGGTTTGATTCCTGGTCAGGACATATGCCTGGGTTTCCCGCTTGATCTCCAGTAGGGGGAGTACAGGAGGCAGCAGATAGGTGTTTCACTCTCTCTAGCCCTCTCCCTTCCTCTCACTCTAAAATCAATAAAAACATATATCTATATATATATTTAAAAAAAAATGAATGGTATCTCAAAAGGATGGAAGGACATCTGGAGGTCCCAATATGGGAAAGAGCTTAGCAGACTGAAGAAACAAAAATAAGAACAGTGTGGCTAGAGTGTGGTGATTAAGAGGCACAATGACAGAAATGAGGTTGGGGAGAAGCCTTGAAACAGACCATATAGGGAGTTATAATAAGGGACTTTAGATTTCATTTGTGTTGAAAACCATTGAATGCTTTTAAGCAGGGAGTAACATGATCAGATTTACATTTTTTGTAGATCACTCAGGCATATTGTTCTTTGGTTGAGCCCTCACTTGCCCGCCCTCCCCCCTCCATCCCCCAGCTGGCAGATAGGTACCATATTTGAGTCTCCATCAGTCTGGATAACACTATTTACCCAGCCCCACCCAACTTTCAGGCCCACCCACAACCCTTTGGTGCTCGGGCTGGCACTCTAACCATGGGAGTCACATCAGCCAGGGCTATTCCCCTAGTTTTAAAAGAACTTACTGTTTCACTCTGGCTCTAAAAATAATACAGCTCATTGCCAAAAATGCTGAAAAGAAAGATATAAATAATGAAATCAAGATGACCTGTAATCTATTCAAAGAGATCACTTTTTAAAATAAATTCTTCTATATTTTTTTATCTCTACACAAATATATTTTCGCATAGTTAAGAACAGATTTATAGCTAGTTTTACAGCCTGTTTCAATTAACATAAATTTATTTTTGTATCAATAACTGAAATGAAAAGTCTTTACTTGGAACCTGGATTCAGATGGTCTGTGTTAGAATTCTTGCTCCAGTACTTACTAGCTGTGTGACTTTGAACATGCCACTGAACCTATCTAAATTCTTGCTGTTTTAATTAAATAGGAAGTGTAATAGTAACAAATTTATGGATGTTAAATGAAGATTAAATGATAATATAAGTAAAGCACATAGTACAAAACCTGGCATAGGAAGAACCTATTTAATTCATTTACTCAACAAATATTTATCTATCATCTACTTTGCATTGTTGCTGCACTGAGCTGTGGTATTGAATAACATAAAAATAAAATATGTAAGTTATGAATAAAATAAAGAAAAACAAAATGTAATTTATGAAACATTTTATATTATATAAATAAAATAGAGAAAAATAAGGTAATATAAGGAAAAAAATCCCTTGCCACATGGAATTTATATTTTAGTGTGGTATAATAAAGAATAAGGATTTCGTTTGTGTTCCCCATATTTAGCAGAGTTTCTAAATCCCTTGGAATTCCTTTCTTTTTTTTCTTCTTGAATTTTTACTTATTGATTTTAGAGAGAGAAACATCGATTTTGTTATACCACTTATTTATGCATTCACTTGTTGATTCTTTTATGTGCCCTGTATGACCTTGGATTGAATCCACAATCTTGGTGTATCTGGATGATGGCTAACCAACTGAGCTACCTAGCCAGGGCAAAAAAATCTTTGGAATTTTGTGAGCTATAGGAGTGTAATTTTTTATAAGAAGTCCTGTTGGATCACTCCTGGATTTATGCTAATAAGGTGATATATGCTAATAAAGTGAATAAGGTGATTTCTGTTAGTAAAGTGACTTCAGATTTTCTGAAGCCTCTTTAACCAATAAATAGCTTATGTGCTAGATAGCATCAGGGCTGGGCTGGTCATCAGTAAGACCTAGTGATTAGAAAGTGGGAACTCGCAAGCATAGCCTCCTAGCTTCTGGTTTGGCCTGGAGTTTGAGCTCTGAAAACTTTACAGTGAAATTCAATGCAGAGATTCACAGTGCAGGAGAGTGGTACACTCAGGATCCGTTGATGAACTTTTGAGTTAAGAACTCAAGAGTGTATAAGGGCAAGCTATGTTACTAACTGACAAGAGGGAATAAATAATGTGCAGACCTTGAAGTGAGAACCTGCCAGGTGTGTTTCGGGAACAGCAAGGAGCCCAGTGGGGCTGGAGCAGAGAGAATGAAGGGGGGTGGGGGGAACATAGTGAATAAATTCAGAGAGGTAGTAAAGACCCAAGGAGAGCTGTGTGTATCATAGTATTTATGACTTTGGCTTTTATCTTAGTGAGAAGAGAAGCCATTGGAGGGTTTTGAGCAGGTGTGATGGATCTGACTTTAGTTTTGCTAGAGCACAGACAGGGAGAGCAGTTAGGAGGTTATTATAAAAATCTACATATACGTGATGGTGACTTAGAACAGGATGGTGTAGGGGAGAAGTTGAGAAGTATCAAATTTTGGATATATTTTGTGGTGGTACATGCTAAATATCAACTTAAATCATTTTCTAGGTTACAGTTCCTTTGAGTCATCTCATCAATGCCTTCCATTCTCCAAAAAGCACATCATCTTCTGTCAGTGCATCAGTTTCTCAAAACCAGCATCGAGATGTGATTCCTGAACATGAGGCTCCCAGCAATGAGGTAATGGTTTTTACCCTGGTTGTGTGAGAAAGCATTTTGATTTAGTACATTGTAAACATGTTTGAAGCATTTTTTTATGTTTAGACATTTGTAAGGTGATTTTTGTCATCAGCTTAATCTTTAATCTCCTTTGTGATTAAAGATGTCTAATCCTAGCTTTATTGTACAGTTAGAAAAGTTACTTTATTTCATTTTTATAAAAATTTTATATGGAAGTAAACTTGGTATTCACTTCTAGGTTACTACTTGTGTGATACTATGCAGATTTTATTTTGTGTTGTTCCAGTAGTAGCAGTGAACCCATAGTTAACTGACCATATTTACCTGCCAAGTCTCACGGAGGATAGAATAGTGTAATTGAACAACTAAAATGTAGGTACCTGCAAGTGAAATGTATAAGCTATGAAACTGTACTTCCAGTATTTTAGAGAATTATAAAATCAATGTTGCCTAGGATATAGGAAATTCCTACCCTGGGAACCCTTGGGTTTATAAAGCTCATTAATAAGAGAGGTGCTTATTATAGTTCAGAATACATTTTTTAAATAGAAAACATTATAATCTTTAGGTAAGTTTTAAAAGCCTCTTTAACCAATAAATAGATTACGTACTTAGTTCTGATATAAGGGCCTACGGCAAAGGACAGTCGAGGAAGAGTTGAAGGAAGTTGTTAGGTCAGTCTTAAGATAAAATTTTAATTAGTTGAAACTTTGTTTGCATCATCTTTCTGCTTTCCTTTTATACTGTTTGCCCAATTCCTATTGCCTCTTTCTGTAGGCATTCCATTGTTTTTCTACATCCTGACACCCTTCTTCTAAATTACAGGCAAAGAGAGCTTTCCTAAGGAAAAATACTATGTGTTTTAAATATGCTACATGGAGTAAAATTATATTCATTTTAGAAATTTTGGAAAATATGTATATGGGAGAAATGAAATTCACCTATGAACCTATTATTCCTCAGATATAATGCCAATATTTTGTGTTTATATTTCATGCCTCTTTTTTTCCTGTTTTTTTTGGTGCCCTTGACCGGAATCGAACCTGGGACCCTTGAGTCCATACGCCGACGCTCTATCCACTTAGCCAAACTGGTTAGGGCTCTTTTTTCCCCTGTTATCTATATATATATATAAAAGCCTAAGGAATCAAATGACCGGTCGACTGGTTGCTATGATGCCCACTGACCACCAGGGGACAGACGCTCAATGCACAGGATCGGGCTCCCTCCTGTCTGGATCAGGCCTGCAGGGATGGGCTCCCTCCTGTCTGGATTGGGTCGAAACCAGCTATCTGACATCCCCCAAGGGGTCCCAGATTACAAGAGGGTGCAGGCCAGGCCGAGGGACCTCACTGGTGCACGAATCTGTGCATCAGGTCTCTAGCACTTTTATATTTTACTAGTGGCTCAGTGCACAAATTCGTTGCACATTGAAAGGAAATTGATTAGAAGGTGGCCGACAGGGCAGAACTGGCGAGATGGGCTGGACACGCCCTGGAACCAACCTCCCGCAGTCCCTTCCTGGCTGGCTCCGAAGGGCGTCCTGGAATGTGAGAGTTGCTATAGCTGGGCATCTCCTGCATTGAACATCTGCCCTCTGATGGTCATTGCACTTCATACTTACCGGCCAAGTTGGCCGGTCGCTTAGCCTTTTATAAATATAGATAATTGAATAACATTGCAGTGCTGATTTGGATTCTGCTTTCTTCATTTAATAGTCCTATGAACTTGTTATGTCATACATTTACCAATTTTTTAATGTCTTCAAAGTCTTCATCGTATGATGTCCTGTTGTTGGATATTGTTTCTAAATTTTTGTTGCTATAAACAACACCATTTTACTATCCAGGTTGCTAAATCTTTGACTCATTAAGTGAAATTGCTAGGTCAGTAATGAAGGTACATTTTTGGGGGCTTGAAAGGTAACTAAATTCTAAAAGCCAATGTTGAAGTTAAGACTAATGGTCTCAAATGTAGAATTGGTATTCTTAACCTTTGATGATACCTTCATTAGTTCTATTGTTTTGTCTTTAATGAGTGCTTGTTATTGCTTCACAGACCAATTCTTTTTTAAAAAATATATTTTATTGATTTTTTTACAGAGAGGAAGATAGAGGGATAGTTAGAGACATCGATGAGAGAGAAACATCAATCAGCTGCCTCCTGCACACCCCCTACTGGGGATGTGCCCATAACCAAGGTACATGCCCCTGACCGGAATCGAACCTGGGACCCTTCAGTCTGCAGGCCGACGCTCTATCCACTGAGCCAAACCAGTTAGGGCTCTCTCACCATTTTTAGAAGTCATCTCTTTAGTAGCAGTTAACATGTTGCATGAAAATTGCCATGTTTATATGTACTCTGTTTCTCTTATGTTCCTAAGACTTGATGACACTCTGAGTAAGGGGAATAATTTTCTGTCTTCATTAAGAGTCTTTGTTTTCCTTTTGAAGTCTATGCATTATAAACAGACTTTTGGGCTTCCCATTTTACAAGATAACTTTTGAAAAGTAGCTCTTGCCCTAGCTAGTTTGGCTCAGTGGATAGAGTGTCGGCCTGTGGACTAAAGGGTCCTGGGTTCAATTCCCGTCAAGGGCACATGCCTGGATTTTGGGCTCAGTCCCCAGTAGGGGGCGTGCAGGAGGCAGCCAATCAATGATTCTCTCTCATCATTGATGTTTCTCTCTCTCTTTCCCTCTCTCTTCCTCTCTGAAATCAATAAAAATATATTAAAAAAAAAAAGCTCTTGAATACTGTAGTCTTTTGTTTCCATTATGATAATGTGCTTTATATTGTACTAAAGGCCCGGTGCACGAAATTCGTGCATGGGGGTAGGGGCGTGTCTCTCAGCCCAGCCTGCACCCTCTCCAATCCGGGACCCCTGCCTGCCTGATCACCCCTAACTGCTCTCCCCTGCTGGCCTGATCCCCCTAACTGCTCTCCCTTGCCGGCCTGATCCCCCTAACTGCTCTCCCTTGCCGGCCTGATCCCCCTAACTGCTCTCCCTTGCCGGCCTGATCCCACTAACTGCTCTCCCCCACCACCTCTGCCTCGGCCTCTGCCACTGTGGCTTTGTTCAGAAAGATGTCCGGAAGATGTCTAGTCTAATTAGCATATTACCCTTTTATTAGTATAGATTGTTGAAGGATTGTTGAAAACATAAAACCTCTGTGAAGAAAGTGTCTCTTTTTCCCTTTTGCAAAAGAGACATTCTCAAAATGCCAAGACCCTTAATTAACCCTCAAGAATATTTTCTCCATTGATTAATTTTTTTTAGAGAGAGAGTGGAAAAGAGGGAAGGAGGGGGAGTGAGAGAGAAAAACATTGATGTGAAAGAGGGACATCAATTAGTTTCTTTCCACACTCACTGATAGACCGGGGAAGGGATTGAACCTGCAACCCAGGTATATGCCCTCGACTGGGAATTGAACCTGTGATCCTCCAGTGTGTAGGCTGACACTCTAACCACTGAACTACACAGGCCGGGGCTGAAGAACATTTTGTCTCCTGACATGTTAGTCATCCCCTTGGAGACTTTTGCCACACTATTCACATTGGCAGAGGGCCAGCATGACGTCTTTGGAGACATTTTCTTACTTCAAGGAACCTGTGACCTTTTTACCTGGAAACAGAGTGAGTTCCCTGGACATAATGAGTCCTTCTGAGCCAACAGAATCAGAAATGCCCTCCCCTGTGCTCTAAAATGCCATCTCCCTCCTAACCATGGTGGGTCACAAGCACTCATGTTGTCCTTATTGTCACTAGTGACATTTAATTCCAAACAGGAGACCTTTGGGCCAACAAAGCTGCCCAGGCTTAACTGTGAGACTGTCATGGAGGAAAAGGCTCAGGAGAAAAGCAGTCTGTTGGAGAACGGGACAGTCCACCAGGGAGATGTCTCATGTGGTTCCAGTGGGTCCGCGTGGCAGTACAGTTAGAGTAGGGAGAGCTACTCCTCTAGCCTTTCAGAACAGTACCCGTGCCAAGGACATGTTTGACCATTCCACCCTTGTGCAAGCTTGGCAAGGAAAAGACTGAATCAGAGGAGTCCCTCTCTGATCTGGCAGTTTCTGCCTCTCCGTGAAGCTTGATCTTGGGCCCTTATTTCTGGATGAGGTGCTGAATGTTTGGGATAAAAATAAGTAATGAATTTTTCAGCAATTCCTTTGAGGTAAAAGTCCCCCCCCCCCCACCCCCCACCAAAACAAAAAACAAAACCAAAAAAATCCACAACAAAAAGCCAACAACCGCAAAACATATACCACAAAACAATGAACCACAGTGAAAGAGGTGAAAGAGAAGAGCTTCACCGGCTCTATTTGTGGTGGTTTTCTAAAATAATGTTCTTACAAAGTTTTGTGTTGTTTTTTTTTTTAATCTCTTATGCCCTCTTTGTAGAAACAGTTTTAAAAATCAAACCAAACAAAAACCCCCCCAAAAAAACTTGTCCTAGGAAAAAGAGGGAGTCAGAAGCCATTTTCACAAGCATGGATGATGTTCAGCTCACGCTTTGTTTGTAGACATAAGAAATCTGGCTGGGCCAAGATGGGCACTACCTATGAAGGGCTGCACAAGTAACACTGAGGAATTTTATACTCCTCATTTTCTGAGAAAGAGGAAATAAACATTTAACACCTAAGCCTTTTTCTAGATTCTTTTCTATATAATATTGTTCAGATTCACCATATCAGATTCTTCATTGTTAAGACTTTTTTCTAAGTTATTTTTAAAGTTAAAATATATTTCATGTTCCTTTGACTATTTTTACAGTCTGCATTTTATAGATACTACATCAAATGCTATTTGACTTGTTTTTATTGCAGTCCATTGTAAGCTGTATATGTGTATATTTAGAAAAGTGTATTCCTATTTGGCTTTGTTTTATCTTTTCTTCATCTGTTAAACTTTTCACAGCAACCAACAATGGATTGTAAAGTATAAAGGCACAGGTTACTCATAATGTTTCTGCAGAGGCTATGGGCTGTACCATGTAAAATGTACTTTGGAAATATAATTATTTTAGCATAGTACATACTTGCATTACATACCACATAATAAAGAGTAAATGTGAAAATGAAAAAAAAATTACGTCATGATGCCTTTATCTTACTATGTGTGGGATAAGATAGGTAGATGAGCACAGCATGATCTCTTTTGATCTGTACTATCTCATGAAATAGGCAGGACATATTTCATAGTCATTTTATTAACAAGGAAATGGATTCTAAGAATATGAATGACTTCTTACAAAGCTAATAAGTGATAAACTCCTGGACATCAATCTAAAGCTATATTATAAAAAGTTGACACTTGTTCTGTTTATTTTTGCTCTCTTACTTGAAGTTCTAACTGTCTGGGGCTTGTAATTGTTGTCTTTAGTGTCTCTCAGTCAACTCACATGGGCAAAAAAATAACTCCTATCTATTTGTTACGTTAGAATTATTTTAGGTAGGTATATTGCATAGTTTTCACATATTTTTTACATTGTTTAGTTTTCCTCATTAGAAGATAGATATGGGTAACTACAGAACCTGTCAGTTCAAAGAAGGATCTCAGCAATAAGGCCAGAGGAGTGAGATATCCTGTGGTAGCAGAGCATACACTTTATTTATCAAACTAGAGGCCTGGTGCACTGATTCATACATCGGTGAGGCCCCTCAGCCTGGCCTGTGCCCTCTTGCAATCCGGGACCCCTTGGGGGATGTCGGATAGCCAGTTTCGGCCCAGTCCCTACAGGCCCAATCCAGACAGGAGGGTGTCTGATCTTGTGTGTTGAGCATCTGTCCCCTGGTGGTCAGTGTGCATCATAGCGACTAGTCGTTTGGTCGATTGGTCGCTTAGGCTTTTATATATATAGAATATAGATGGGCTTTTGTTTATGGGCATTAGAGATTGGAGAGTGCTTTAAAGCCCTAAAGACTAGTGATGATACCATTGAGAAGATAATTTTTTTCAACTTCTGTCAAAACTCACATGACTGACCTTAAGAAAACAAGAACTATGAAAATATTTTCACCAATTTATATATTAGAAAGAAAAAGGAAACCAGTATATTTTTTAGATTTTTAAAAACCCATATTGCTTCAACTGAGTACTCTATAAATTAAATATCTTGATAGCATTAATGTTTACTTCGTTGACTTAATGTTTTACAGCCTGTGCTTAACTTAAGGGACCTTGGATTATCTGAATTAAAAATTGGACAGATTGATCAATTGGTAGACAGTCTACTTCCTGGAATTTGTAAAGGCAAAAACATTTCTTCCCATTGGCATACATCTCATGTCTCTGCACAGTCCTTCTTTGAAAATAAATATGGTAAGTTAATATATTTTTTGTTTTAATTAATTTTAGTACTATTAATAATTATAGTAGTGATTATCACAATCACTGTGTACCAGATTCTTTGCTACTTGTTTTATTCCTTTCTTCCTTCCTCCCTTCTTTCCTTTCTTTTTCCTTTCCTTCCCAACTTTTTATATTGGAATTATTTTATTTTGTAATTTTTTAAAATATTTTTATTGATTTCAGAGAGGAAAGGAGAGGTAGAGTGAGTTAGAAACATCAGTGATGAGAGAGAATCATTGATCGACTGCCTCCTGCATGCCCCGCACTGGAGATCAAGCTCTAAACCTGAGCATGTGCCCTGACCAGGAATCGAACCTTGATGCTCAATCCATCTGGCCTATTTTATATTATTTTTAAAAGATATTTTTATTGATTTTAGAGAGAGAGAGAGAGAGAGAGAGAGAAACATTGATGTGAGAATGAAACATTGATTGGCTACCTCCTACACGCCCTGGCCGCCCCCCCATCGGGGATCAAGCCCACAACCCAGGCTTGTGCCCTGATCAGGAATCAAATCAGTGACCTTTTGGTACACAGGATGACATCCAGTCAACTGAGTCATACTGGCCAGGGCTATATTGGAATAATTTTAGATTTACAGAGAAGTTGTAAAGGTAGTACAAAGTTCTATACTACAGACTTCTATTATTATAGACTTAATTTAGATTTTTACCAAGTAAAAGTTTAATTTTGCAAATCACTAGTTTTTCCACTAGGATTCATTTTTCTGTTCCAGGATCTAATTATACTACATATATTGCATTCCATGTAACATACTACTAATCTCAGAATATATTAAAGAAACTGTCACGGTCCCTTTTTTTTTTATAGAATGTCTACATATTTTCTTGAGTCTTGTAACAATCTGGAATTATAATTGGGTATTTTGTTGGAAGAGATGTCAGCTTTATGAATTCTTTTTGGATGATGCTTAAATAAGGAATGTTAGAAGCTTGTCAAAATACTTATTCTATATTGATAAAATAACAGATTTAAAAATATATATATATATATATTTTTTTATTGATTCCAGAGAGAGTAAGGGAGAGGGAGAGAGAGATAAAAACATCAATGATGAGAGAGAATCATTGATTGGTTGCCTCCTACATGCCCCCCTACTGGGGATCGAGCCTGGACATATGCCCTGACTTGGAATCGAACCATGACCTCCTGGTTCATAGGTCCTCACTCAATCAATGAGCTACACTAGCCAGGCAAGAACAGATTTTTAAAATCAGTACAAGCACCCCGACTGGAGATCGAAACCTCATTCTAGGTATGTGCCCTGACTGGGAATTGAATCTGCAACCTCTATGTTCATGACAGTGTTATCAATAGCTAAGACCTAGAAACAGCCCAAATGCCCATCAGTAGATGAGTGGATAAGAGTGCTGTGGTGCATTTACACAATGAAATACCACTTGGCTATAAAAAAGAAAGAACTCTTATCCTTCGCAGTAGCATGGATGGACCTGGAGATTTTTATTTATTTATTTACTGATTGATTGATTTAGAATCACAGACTTTATTTTTTTCTTTAAAAAAACTTTTTTTAATTGATTAAGGTATTACATATGTGTCCCCCATGGCCCCCCCCCAACC